AATTGATTGTGTAAATCATTTCAGCTTATTAAACTGAAGAAAAAAAAACACACACAAAACATCAACAGTAAAATAGCCTGGAACAATGACAAAGTCGCTTATATTAAACATAAAACTTTTATGAACCAAACGAATAAGACCGGTGACATGGTATACCTGTGTTGTAACACAAATAAATAAAAGGTCTTTGATTTTCCCCTTAAACAAATGCTTAGTTTGTGGCTTATAATTATTAATAAATAAAAAAAAAACGGTTATACAGTAAGATATTACAATGACAAATTCACTTATTAAACTTAGAATTTTTATTAACAAAATGAATAAGGATGATATACCCATTCTGTAACACAAATAAATAAATGGTCTTTGGATTTCCCATACTTTAAAACAATTGTAGTTTGTGGCCACTTTTTCATAACAGTTAAGCCTGATGTTTAAAAGACTGCATTCTGTTTTCAAAATTAAATATTTACTAAAACTAGAGCAAATTAATAATATATTTATTAGTCATATTATATTTAATGCTTTATTTAAATTCTGTAGTTTTATTTTTTTTTTCTGTGTCAAATCACAATTCTTTTTTATAAATGTCCATTTGCACTCCCATATTAAATCTCTTGTTGATTGATAACTCTATTTGAATTTTACAGTGACCGCGAGGGGACATGTTCGGTTCATTTAATTTTGTACATATTAACTCGTGGGAACGTGATATTATGTCGTGGCCACGAGACACACTCCTGGACATCAGAAATAGCACACCAAATAACTTTCTGCCGACATTTGAGCATTCAGATGTTTTACTGGACATTTTAGTCAGAGGAGCTGCGTTCCTATACAAGCGCTCCAGTGACGCAAGCGAGGGAAGCGCGCCGGCGCGCTCGTGAAATTCCAACAGCGTGGTTTTAGGACTCCACTGCCAAGCATTCATCTGGCGAATCTCCGCTCCCTAGCAAATAAATCAGACGAACTACGACTCCTCACCCACACAAACAAGGACTTTTTAAACTCCGGTGCGCTCTGCTTCACGGAAACCTGGCTGAACGGAGCCATCCCGGACAACGCGTTACATCTAAAGGGCTTCCAGCTGTTCAGAGCGGACCGCGTCACGGAGTCATCGGGGAAAACGAGAGGCGGTGGATTATGTTTTTATATCAATGAAGGCTGGTGTACAGACGTGACAGTTTTAAAGAAGATGTGCTGCCCAAATTTGGAAACTCTCTTCATTAACTGTAAGCCACGGGCTTCCAGCTGTTCAGAGCAGACCGCTTCACCGAGTCGTAGGGGAAAACGAGAGGCGGTGGATTGTGTTTTTATATCAATGAAGGCTGGTGTACAGACGAGACAGTTGTAAAGAAGATGTGCTGCCCAAATTTGGAAGCTCCCTTCATTAACTGTAAGTCTTTTTATTCACCTCGGGAGTTTTCCTCGTTTATTCGGGTGAGTGTGTACATTCCTCCTGACATGCGTGTGAGCGCCGCGCTAGAACTGTTGGCCGATCAGATCACACACAGAGCAGCGGCTGGACCACTGCTACACTGCTGTTTTAAAGGATGCATACCACTCTGTCCCCCGAGCAGCTCTGGGACTCTCTGATCACTGTTTGGTTCATCTTCTACCAGCCTACAGGCAGAAACTCAAATCTGCTAAACCTGTAGTAAGACCTGTAAAGAGATGGACTGCTGAAGCAGAGCGGGACTTACAAGCCTGCTTCGACCTCACTGATTGGAGTGTTTTTGAGGCTGCAGCTACTGATCTGGATGAGCTTACATCCGCCCCCTCTGTCAAACTCCTGAAGTTTGCAGGCGACACCACACTCATCGGTCTCATCCAGGATGGAGACGAGTCTGCTTATAGACAGGAGGTCGAGCAGCTGACTGTCTGGTGCAGTCACAACAACCTGGAGCTGAACACACTCAAAACTGTGGAGATGATCATGGACTTCAGGAGAAGCCCCCCTGCTCTCCACCCACTCACCATCATGGACAGCACTGTGACTGCAGTGGAGTCATATTGAGTCGGTTCTGTCCTCTTCTATAACTGTCTGGTTTGGGTCAGCCAGCAAATTAGATTTAAGAAGACTGCAACGGACTGTTAGGACAGCAGAAATGATCATTGGTGTGCATCTGCCTAGTCTTCAGGACTTGTACAACTCCAGAGTGAAGAAACGGGCAGGTAACATCATCAAAGACCCCTCTCACCCCGGACACAACCTGTTTGATGCATGTGTGTATGTACCAGGAGCACCTAATTAAAAAAACAAAAAAAAACAAATTCCTAGTGTGTTTGCGCACACCTGGCGAATAAAGCTAATTCTGATTCTGATTCTGATGTGTAGGCCTATATGTGTGTGTGTGTGTGTATGTATATGTGTGTATATATATATATATATATGTTTTGTTTGTTTTATATGGCTCTTTCCCCATCATATATATTGCATAAATCTTGATCCATACTCCAGTCCAATCGGTGGCGGTAATGCACCTATAAGCTGGTTTGCCAACCGCCAATAAAACACCAAAGAAAAAGAAGTTGTTTATTCTGTTCCACACTCCGGAGCAGAAGGTGGCGGTAATGCACCTATAAGCTGGTTTGCCAACCGCCAATAAAACACCAAAGAAAAAGAAGTTGTTTATTCTGTTCCACACTCCGGAGCAGAAGGTGGCGGTAATGCACCTAATTACGCTAGTTGCCAACCGCAGTTAAAAGCCAAGAAGAAGAAGTTGTTTATTTGACTTCAAATGGCGTTTTGTTGTACTTTTATTAGTAAACGTTGTAAATTATGTATTTCCGAGGAACACATATTGTAAATATGGTTCTATTCTGCATGTTCCTTTACAAATCTACCAGATTTACGCCCGGTGGATTTATAACACAGGGAAATATCTCAGAACGGAGAGAGTAGACCCATCTCATATTTTTGGAAAAGCTCTTTTGACTAGTAGGAACAACCACCTAACAACCAGAACACCCATCCCAGAAAACAGCTCGGATCTTCACAGTCCCTCACTGTCACATACGTCTGTGTCCAGAGTTTGACGCCATCAGGATCCCAGGTGAGATTTCATTTAGTTCACTTTCTTTAACTTTTTGAGTTTCACTTTTTTTTTTTATCGTTATAAATTGTTTCTAGCTTAAAAGCCATTGAGGGCATTGACGTAACAATTATTTATGACCTCTTTCTTAGATAGCAGGAGATTATATATTAATTCGTTTTGTTTACGTTTTATGAAAGAGGCCCTGTCTGTTACATCTGTAAACAGTTGTAACCTAGACTGCAAATCGCACTAAATATTCCAGTCCGGAGTCCGCGTCGTCAAATTCCAGTCTCTGACACATTGAATCTTGCAAATCAACCCTCTACATTGGGAGTAAATCACTCGCATATGCGACTAAATCTTCACTCTGGCGACTAAATTATGTGTAATATTAGCCACTGGCTAATAAATTCTCAGATTTTACTCGCCAGTGTGTGAGTTGGAGGCTAAGTATAAGTTTAGCTCAGATATATTTTCACTCGCCGAACACTCTCTGACTGAGCGCATCAGAGTTTCACTCTCCGCCAAGCGATC